GCGCACGCCATGGGAGCCGTGACTGACGGTGAGGCCCGGTCGCCGCCACGCCGGCCCGCTTCCCCGAACCCTCCGGCCTCCCTAGCCCCCACGAATCCCCCAGCCGCTTCCGAGAGCCTCTCGGTCTCCTGGGTCAGACCCCTCGGAGCCTCGGGCCTCTCGGCCTCCCCGCCCACCCCCTCTCCCCCCAGCCTCTCGGCCTCTCCCCAGCGCCGCCGACCCCTCAGCCCGCTCGCCCCGAGGCCACGCGGGTTAGAGGCAGATCGGCTAGGGGCCGGGCACACGTGGGGACCTGGGAAGGCTGAAGCCGTGCGTGGCCGTGTGGGCCCCGGAAGGGGTCCAGCCTGTCGTCCGAGGTGGTGAGCGGGCATCTGGTGGGAGTAGCATCTGGTGGGAGTAGCGGCGAACGGGGAGTGTTGGGGGATCTGAGGACGCGGGTTGAAGGGCTGGAAGGGAGTGGGAACTCCCGGGTTCCCAGAAGGGGCGCGGGTTTCGGCACCAGGAGGTTTTAGGGAGAATGTCCTAGACAGGTTTCGAGGGTGGTCAATGAGCAGAGCGGCGCTTGGGTGGGGTTCTCCGGAGAGATTGCGAAGAGCCGCCAGACGGTGGGGTGGATCTCAGTGAGACCCGGGGACTAGCTCTGTATGGGGGTTGGAGGGAGCTGGGTACAATACCTGAAAGATGTGAATGGGGTGTCGTGAGGCCAGTTGGGGAGCGTAAGCGAGCAATTTATGGGAGCGGATGTAGGATTGTGTTACTTGAGGGAGATCAAAACAATAAAAGATGTGTGGGTCCCCTGGAAAATGGAAGTCCATGAAAAGATGCTCAGCTGGTGGAAAGTAGACCCAGATGAAGAAGGACCCACCATGTGATCAAGCATGATGGGCAGCTGGTGGGAGAATTTTGGGTACCCAGTTAGCATCCAGTTGGCATCTAGGAAGGGGGCACAGAAGCTGCTTGAAAAAAGGTGGTAACTGGAGATGCCTGTGGAGAAGTCACTTCAGAAGCAGTCTACACATTAAGGGACTAGCAATGGAAAGAAAGAGTAAAAGGCGAAGTGATAAGGAGAAGCCAGGTCCAGGCAGGAACTCAGTGGGGAATTTTAATTTTAACGTTGTTTCTTCATTCCAGTTTCATTTATTTAATAGAGGCTTATCCTGTCTGAGCTGGGCCTTGGAATTATAGCCCAAAAGCCATGGTCAAAATCTTTCCCCTCTTGGAGGTTACAGTCTGATGGGAAACACATTAGATAATTAGTTTTAAGAGTAAGCACAAGGCATATGTACAAGTTTGGAAAAGTAATCATGTAACTATTCATGCCCAGAAATCAGAAAGCCTCCATGAAAAAGTTACTCCTAACCCGATTTTTAAAGGATAAAAAGATGTGTTTGGACTGTTTTCCCCAGGGGCAAAGGCCCAAAGTGTTGAAAGTATGCAAAGATGGCTATGTTGGCATCAGACTTCCTACAATTTGGAATTTTGAGCCTGAGCTTTCAAAGAACAATGGGAACCATTAAACATTTTTAAGGTGGTGTGAGATGGTCAGGTTTACATTCAAAGATAAGCCACCACATTCTACTATAAGAAGGAGGGAAAGTAGATATCTAAGTTTCTTCTCTGACATGTTGTATTTATGCCATATGTCAAGCTTTGTCTTAATTTTCCCAACTTTATAGATGAACCTGGGATGCAAAGAGTTTAAGTAACTTGTCTAAGGTTGCACAGGTGGTAAGTTATAGAGCCTGGTCTATAACCAGGCAGTCACTCCAGAGTTTTTCACCATTTTCCATCCTGTCTCTCAGCTACTGCTGCAATGGTCCTAGTGAGGCATAGGGAAGTGTGAACCAAGAGGCAGTGCAGAGAAATGATGAGGAGAGAAATTTATGTGCCATCAGCCAGGACTTCTGTGATAGAGTGAATGTCAGAGGAAAGGGTAGAGGATTAGGTTAGAATTTCAGGCTTCTGATTTGCCTGCTCATTTTTTTGTTGGTACTATTTCTCCATTTCTTGAGGAAGAAAACTACAGAATAGGGTAGAGTTTGTCAAACTGGAGATGGGGAGGCAAGATGAATTTCAGAAATATTCTAACTGTATTCAAGGGCCCTCCACATCCCTGGTGGCCACAGGATTCCCCATTCTGCCACTTACAAGCTGCCTGACCTTCTGCAGGTTAATTTCTTTGAACCTCAGTTTCATTGTTTGTAAATGGGGATAATAAAACCTATTTCTTGGAGACATTTTGAGGGTTAAGTAGTTATAAAATCCTTTCCACTGAGTAATGCTTTACATTAATATAAACATAGTAATAATGTTCAGTAAATACTATGAAATGTAAGAGTTGGTTTACTCCTCTCCTTCACTTTCGTTTGACAAGGACTCTGCCTTTTACCTCTATTTGTACAGATTTTCCTTCCCTGCCCTTTCTGCCAGATTACCATGCATTTGTTCTTCAAAACCCACTTCAACTGTTCCCCTCTTCTCTTTCCTAGAACCATCTGTATTTCACAGGTTGCCCATGGTATTTCATGCATGTTGCTGTTGTATCCCTCAATACTTAAATGGCATATTCCAGAGAATAGTTAAGACAGTTTAACATAATGAGAAAACATAAAAATAAGTGAACAAAGAAACGGCAAAAGAATATTGAGACGAGGAAAAACAAGGAAGTTAGAAGCGAGAACTAGGGGTGAGCCTCAAAATGTGGGTAAAATCTGGTACATTAGTTGAGAAAATTACACGTGTCTTTTCTTTCTGCATGAGCCCCTACTACAGAAAGTCAAATGCTGCTTCATTCTGCAATCCAGTGTTCATGAGAAAAGGCATTACATGCCTAACAGAGTTTTTTCACATTTAAGCACTGGAGAAACAAATTTTTTATAGAGCCCTCGTTAAGAAAAGGCAGTGCCATATCCTTAATCTTCTTAGCTCTGGCTGTCAGAGTTGTTTTTTAAATTAATTTTATATCACTTAGTGGATAAATAAGTCTAAAGCATAGTTTAGAAAATATCATAAAGCTGATAGGCCCTATGGTTTGGGTTGGTAGCTCTGCTGGCTGCCTTAATTCATAGCAAGGTCTTTTTATTTATTTGTTTTAAGAATGTCTATCCCATAGAGGAAAGGATGAACTACATCTTTAGAGAATTCTCTGTAAACATGGTTTACTCAGCTTTTGGTTAAAATCAAAGAGGAATAAGGGGTATATCAGTACACATTTATCCGTAGTATGCCTTCTAGGCATAGTGTGAGATGTTACTTAACAGCAGTAAACTGTACGGAGGAAAGCCATGCTCGTGCTTGCTGGAGAGCAGCAGTGGCATGCAATCAAATAAGCAAGGAAGGTAATTTCTGAGAAGGAGCATAATTAAGTTGTGAAGTTAAGTCACAAGGATGAATTAGAATAGAGACAGAATAGTCAGGAGGAATTTCTGATGATTGGTTAAAATGGGGTGATGAGAGATGACCTTTGAAAAGCAACGTTAAAAGTGAGAGCTGTAAGGGTCAACTGTGTGAAGAGTCCAGAAAAGCATTCCAGATAACAAAAAAGACCTAAGGTGAAAACAAACTTTTTGTTAAGACCTAAGGTGAAAACAAATTTTTTGTTATTGAGGGAAGATAAGGAAGGCATTTGGGGCTGGATCTAGGTGGGCCAAAGGGGGTCAGAGAAATAATCTGGATCCCACGGAGCACCCTATAGAACTTAGAAGGGAGATTAAAATGTCTTCTTTGGGGCACTTGGAAATGACTGGAAGATGTTAAACAGAAGAATAAGTTATTAATACATCTTTGGCATCATTCTGGATTACTCTAGAATATAGATTCTGGGAAGGCAAAATGGAAGCAAAGAGGCCAATGAGTGGTATTCCAAATGAGAGGTGAGGTGGGATTGCCTGAAGGTGATGGCACTGGGGAATACTAAAAAGTGAGTGTTCTCCATATTTTAACTGTCCTGCTGAAAAGTGCCTGCAGGACTTCCAGGGTCTATGGAACGTAGAGGAGGGCCTATGGTTTCTTTCATACTTGAGGTTTTTGAAGAGGCATGGGCCCTTAACATGTGGTCTGCCCATCCAGTTGGACTGGGAGCTCATGAAGTTATTTATTTCCTGCACCCAGTACAAGGACACATTGATTAATTTGAGAAATACCCTGCCTCCAAGGGGAGAAGAGAGGCACTATATTGTTATCTGTAGATACTGAACTATAATTATTACCATCAGTACTATCATAGGGGGAAATAAGGCCCTGGGAGGTTAGAGACTTACAGTTATTGGTAAGTAAAGGTGTTATTTATAGTTAATAGGTAAATTATAACTATTTGTAATTACAGTTATAGAATAATGATCACATAGTTACTGGAAAGCCTTCTTTCTCCATCCCCTGTTGCCATTCTAGCATTTTGGCTCCCTGAAAAGCAGTTTAGATGTTGTCACTGTTAATTTAAACTATGTTCACAGTTTATATTTTGTATGTGTTAATTTAAAGGGTGTTAAACAGTGTTAGTCTCAGATAGAAATCATTTTAGAAGCACTTTTTGTGGTACAGGGACCAGTAGGTAGATACAGTGATGTGGCAGAGGAGCAGATGGGAGATGTGAAAGGGGTAATGGGAGCAGGATGTGTTTCTACATTCCATTTCATAGAACTTGTTGGTTTTCACAGCATTTTTTTTTATCAGAAAGCATAATGCATGAATATATGGTTGTTAAAACTTGAAATAATGACTTCTAATATGCCTGTGAACAATAAGGCCGAGTAATGGCATGGTGATACAGCTTTCTGATGAGTAATTATGTGTATTTTTCCATGAAGAGAGAGGTGATAGTACTATAAAAGGAAGATAATATGCATTCTGTAGGGTTGTTTTAAGGATGAAAAATAATACATGTATAGTATTTCAGAGTCGAATGACCGTTTAATTTATTGTCTAAACCAGGACATTTCAGAATGAAAGTTAAACAAGTGCGATACGTGGTCATCAAGTACGAATGTGTAAGCACTGTATTGACATCTGCTTCTGTTATTCCTATTTCGATTGCTGATCCAGTGTTATTAGCCATAACATTTGTGGACATAGGGTGGTTGGTTGGTTGGTTTCACTACTGCCAGTGGATTTGCCCATTTAGCTCCCTTTTTGATTGCCCTAGCACATGAACTATTGATGCAATTCAACAACTGAATAATGTTTCTTTAGCAGGATAATGGAGTTTTCAAAGCAAGATTGGAGTTTCAACCTTGACTTTATTAGTACCACACTCTAAACATTTAAGTAAATGTAGGGGAAAAAATGAGGACCTTAGCATGATTTTTCTCCTCTAATTTTTTTTTATTTAATTTGCTTTAAGTAATTTACTTTGGCATCAGCA